CACCCCAAACCCCAGGGAGATGGGCTCAATGGGTGTCCTCAGGGTGGGGGACAGTGTTGTGTCACCCCAAACCCCAGGGAGATGGGCTCAGGGGGTGTCCCCAGGAGGGGGGACGACAGTGTCCTGTCACCCCAAACCCTAGGGTGGGCTCAAGGGGTGTCCTTGGGGTGGAGGACAGCATTGTGTCACCCCAAAATGGGCTCAAGGGGTGTCCCCAGGAGGGGGGACAGCGTCGTGTCACCCCAAACCCCAGGGAGATGGGTTAAAGGGGTGTCCCCAGGGTGGGGGACAGTGTCCTGTCACCCCAAACCCCAGGGAGATGGGCTCAATGGGTGTCCTCAGGGTGGGGGACAGTGTTGTGTCACCCCAAACCCCAGGGAGATGGGCTCAGGGGGTGTCCCCAGGAGGGGGGACGACAGTGTCCTGTCACCCCAAACCCTAGGGTGGGCTCAAGGGGTGTCCTTGGGGTGGAGGACAGCATTGTGTCACCCCAAAATGGGCTCAAGGGGTGTCCCCAGGAGGGGGGACAGCATCGTGTCACCCCAAACCCCAGGGAGATGGACTCAAGGGGTGTCCTTGGGGTGGGGGACAGTGTCCTGTCACCCCAAACCCCAGGGGAGATGGGCTCAGGGGGTGTCCCCGGGAGGGGGGACAGTGTCCTGTCACCCCAAACCCCAGGGGAGATGGGCTCAGGGGGTGTCCCTGGGAGGGGGGACAGTGTTCTGTCACCCCAAATCCCAGGATGGGCTCAAGGGGTGTCCTTGGGGGTGGGGGGACAACAGTGTCCTGTCACCCCAAACCCTAGGGTGGGCTAAAGGGATGTCCTTGGGGTGGAAGACAGCATTGTGTCACCCCAAAATGGGCTCAAGGGGTGTCCCCAGGAGGGGGGACAGTGTTGTGTCACCCCAAACCCCAGGGAGATGGGCTAAAGGGGTGTCCCCAGGGTGGGGGACAGCGTTGTGTCACCCCAAACCCCAGGGAGGTGGGATCAGGGACTGTCCCCAGGGTGGTAGGTAGTGTCCTGTCACCCCAAAACCCCACAGAAGCTGTGCAGAAGGGGGTGTCCTCACTCCAGGTGACAGCATCCTGTCACCCCAAACCCCAGGGCAGATGGACTCAAGAGGTGTCACCAGGAGGGGGGACAGTGTCCTGTCACCCCAAACCCCAGGGGAGATGGGCTCAAGAGCTGTCACTGGGGTGGTGGACAGTGTCCTGTCACCCCAAACCCTAGGGTGGGCTAAAGGGGTGTCCTTGGGGTGGAGGACAGCATTGTGTCACCCCAAAATGGGCTCAAGGGGTGTCCCCAGGAGGGGGGACAGTGTCCTGTCACCCCAAACCCCAGGGCAGATGGACTCAAGAGGTGTCACCAGGAGGGGGGACAGTGTCCTGTCACCCCAAACCCCAGGGGAGATGGGCTCAAGAGCTGTCACTGGGGTGGTGGACAGTGTCCTGTCACCCCAAACCCCAGGGCAGATGGACTCAAGAGGTGTCCCCAGGAGGGGGGACAGTGTCCTGTCACCCCAAACCCCAGGGCAGATGGACTCAAGAGGTGTCCCCAGGAGGGGGGACAGTGTCCTGTCACCCCAAACCCCAGGGCAGATGGACTCAAGAGGTGTCCCCAGGAGGGGGGACAGTGTCCTGTCACCCCAAACCCCAGGGCAGATGGACTCAAGAGGTGTCCCCAGGAGGGGGGACAGTGTCCTGTCACCCCAAACCCCAGGGCAGATGGACTCAAGAGGTGTCCCCAGGAGGGGGGACAGCATCGTGTCACCCTAAACCCCAGGGAGATGGACTCAATGGGCGTCCCTGGGGTGGTGGACAGTGTTGTGTCACCCCAAACCCCAGGGAGATGGGCTCAAGGGTGGTGTCCCCGCACCAGGGGACAATGTGACACAGACTGTGTGGTGTGTGTGTGTGTGTCCCCACCACAGGAGGCCATCATGGACGGGACGGAGATCGCGGTGTCCCCGCGCAGCCTGCACAGCGAGCTGATGTGCCCCATCTGCCTGGACATGCTGAAGAACACCATGACCACCAAGGAGTGCCTCCACCGCTTCTGCTCCGACTGTATCGTCACCGCCCTGCGCAGCGGGTACACCCGGGGGTGTGGGGGGGGACACACAGCGTCACCTCCTCAGCAGTTCTGGGGTTGGGGGGGGTCTACACGTCACCCAGTATCCCTTGTCCTTGTCACCAGGAACAAGGAATGTCCCACGTGCCGTAAGAAGCTGGTCTCCAAGAGATCCCTACGACCAGATCCCAACTTTGACGCCCTGATCTCCAAGATCTACCCGAGTCGGGATGAGTATGAGGCCCACCAGGATCGTGTCCTGGCCAAGCTCAGCCGCCTTCACAACCAGCAAGCATTGAGCAGCAGCATCGAGGAGGGGTTGAAGATGCAGGCCATGCACAGGTGGGACCTCCTGGACCTTCAGCGTTCCCTCCACACATGGTCCTCCACAACGTCCTCCTCTCTCGGTTGGATGGAGTTGATGGATGGACCCATTTGGTGGCTGAGGAATTGGGTGGATGGTGGCATCCAAAGAGTCGTGGTCAATGGTTTAATGTCTGGTGGTGACCTTCAGGGGTCCAAACTGGGACATTCATCAGGGACATGTGACATGTGCCACCATCATCCCTTTGAAATGGTCCTCCACAACGTCCTCCTCTCTCGGTTGGATGGAGTTGATGGATGGACCCATTTGGTGGATGAGGAATTGGGTGGATGGTGGCATCCAAAGAGTCGTGGTCAATGGTTCAATGCCTGGTGGTGGTACCTTCATCAGGGACACGTTCCACCATCACCCCTTTGACGTGGTCCTCCACAACGTCCTCCTCTCTCACTTGGATGAAGTTGATGGATGGACCCATTTGGTGGATGAGGAATTGGGTGGATGGTGGCATCCAAAGAGTCGTGGTCAATGGTTCAATGCCTGGTGGTGGTACCTTCATCAGGGACACGTTCCACCATCACCCCTTTGACGTGGTCCTCCACAACGTCCTCCTCTCTCACTTGGATGGGGTTGATGGAAGGACTATCTGGTGGATGAGGAATTGGGTGGATGGTGGCATCCAGAGAGTCGTGGTCAACGGCTCCATGCCCAGATGGAGACCAATGAGGAGTGGTGTCCCTCAGGGGTCCATAGTGGGACCTTCATCAGGGACATGTGACATGTGCCACCATCATCCCTTTGACGTGGTCCTCCACATCATCCTCCTCAGTTGGAAGGACCATTTGGTGGATGAGGAACTGGGTGGATGGTGGCATCCAGAGAGTCGTGGTCAACGGCTCCATGCCCAGATGGAGACCAATGAGGAGTGGTGTCCCTCAGGGGTCCATACTGGGACCAGTAGTGTTCCATATCTTTATTAACCACATAGATGGTGGCGTCGAGGGCACCTTCAGCAAGTTTGGAGGTGACCCCAAGTGGAGTGGGGTGGTTGATACCCCAGAGGGAAGGGATCCCCCAAGAAGGACCTGGACAGGCTGGAAAGGTGCCCCTGGGTGAACCTCATGAGGTTCAAGAAGGTCAAGTGCAGGGTCCTGCACCTGGGTGAGGACAACCCCAAACATGGCCACAGGCTGGGGCTGAAGGGCTGGAGAGTGGAGAGAAGGACCTGGGAGGGTGAAGAAGTGGCCGTGAGGTGGCAACGTGTGGTCACAGCCCAGGAAGCCAACCATCTCCTGGGCTGCAGCAGAAGCAGCGTGGCCAGCAGGGTGAGGGAGGGGGTTCTGACCTTCTGGGCTCCACCACCATGGCCAGGGCTCCTCAGGACAAGGCCATGGACCTGCTGGACTGGGTCAGAGGAGGCCACCAAGATGGTCCAAGGGCCACCTCCCCTGTGAGGCCAGGCTGGGGTTGGGCAGCCTGGAGAAGAGAAGGCTCCAGATGGACCTCGTGGTGGCCCTTCAATACTTTTGAGGACAGATAAGGTCCACAGCGATGGTTTTAAGATAAAAAAGGGCAGATTTAGCTAAGATCTAAGGAAGAAGTTCCTCACGTTGAGGGTGGTGAGACCCGGAGAGGTAGGAGATGCTCCATCCCAGGTTGGACGGGGCTTTGAGCAACCTCATCTGGTTGGAGGTGGAAGCCCATGGAGGAGGTGACCTTCAAAGGTCTCTTCCTTCCCCAAGAGGAGAGTTCTGTGGTTCCTGGAGGGGGTTGGTCCCGGTTGATCCGTGTTGATCCCGGTTGATCCCAGTTGATCCCAGTTGATCCCCGGTCGCCTCCCGCAGGGCTCAGCGGGTGCGGAAGCTGCACCAGGAGTCGGACAACGCCACCTTCAGCGGAGGAGAAGACAACTGCGACAGCCGCTCCCACCTCAGCAACGCCTCGGCCCCCAGCCACCCCGAGGCCGGGCCCAGCCGCAAACGCTCCCGAGCTTCCGACGATTCCGGGCCCGATCCCGATCCCGAAACCTCCCACGAGGGGGGCGGGAGAGGGAGCCCCGAGCCGGGCGCGGAGCCGGGAAGCAGCGAGATCGAGCTGGTTTTCCGTCCCCATCCGCTGCTGGTGGAGAAGGGGGAGTACTCGCAGACACGGTGAGGGGCGGGGTGGGATGGGATGGGATGAAGGCAGGGATGGGATGGGATGAGGGTGGGAAGGGATGGGATGAGGGCAGGGATGGGATGGGATGAAGGCAGGGATGGGATGGGATGGGATAGGATGAGGGCAGGACCAGGATGAGGGCAGGGATGACATGGGATGGGGGTAGGACCAGGATGAGGGCAGGGATGGGATGGGATGAGGGGGGGGAGGGGTGGGG